GCTTCTTAAACAATGATAAAAAGAAAACAGCATAAAACAATGTACATATGCAAGATCACAACTTAACAGTCTCCCAGTCTCATCCATTTAAGTAAAGAAGTATGTTAGATAAGTGAACGCATCGTCAAAGTTTTTAAGTAGTGCAGATAGCTTGCACACTACAGCTGTTTGTGCTAATGTTTGCAGATAATTTAGGCCTATATTATTTAAATAAACTAAAACTTTTGTTAAAATTTTCTGTAATTCCTCAATGTACATGCTGTTTATCTTGAGGTGTGCAAGAAGCTTTTGTGCAACCCACTAACTCTTATGTGCCCCTGAAGGGTTTTTTCTCAAGGCAAAATGTCTTACATAACCTGGGCACTGCACACTCTCCTCCAGGGCACTTTCACAGTCTTGGCCTTAAAGAATCTGGAGGTGCTGAAGTAGCCAGATGCATGAGCAAGGTGTTGTTCTTTATGACCGCTTGAGGCTGCACACACACGTTGCTCTTATGACCTTGCATGTCTTAAAGTAACATTTTTGGGATTGGTTTTGGGAAGCTGACATTAACCACACACCACAAAAATGAAACCTCACTTCTTGGGTTTTCTTCATTTCTTTTTGTTGACGTTACTCAACAACGCATGTGAATAAGTGAGTCAGCTGTATCAGTTTTGTGATAACCTTATAAGTGTTGAGTAATTCTTTCTCCTTGGCTCCTGGCTTCTGGCATATGCGGCTATCCCCGCTGTTTCACTTCCCTCTCTGTGTTGTTTTTCCTTCAGCCTACCTTCTCCTTTCTATTCTTTGGTTAACCACCTAGCCACATCATTGCTGTCTCCGAGTTACGTGCTGAGAACTACAGTCACAAGTCAGTCATTTACAACCCCATTTCCAAAAAAACGATCAAATAGTGCAACAATTTAAGAATAACACTTCTCAACGTAAAATAGTAAAGAACTTTTGCTTTTCATCATCTACGGTACAGAATATCATTGAACATTTCTGAGAATCTGGAAAAATTGTATGCAAGGGAGAAGGCCAAAAACCAGTATTTGCTGGCCGTGATTTTTGGGCCCTCAGGTGCCACTGCATTAAAAACATGATTCTGTAGTGAAAATCACTGCATGGGCTCAGAAACACTTCTGAAAAACACTCTCTGTGAAAACAGTTCAGCACTGCATCCACAAATGTTAATTAAAACTCATAAATGCAAAGAGGAAACGATATATATAAACAGGATCCAGGAATGCTGCCACTTTCTCTGGGCCCGAGCTCATTTAAAATGGACTGAGGGGAAGTGGAAAAGTGTTCTGTGGTCCGATGAATCATTTTAATTTCTTTTTGGAAATCATGGACACTGTGTCCTCCGGGCTAAAGACCACTCAGCTTGTTATCAGTGCGCAATTCAAAAGCCAGTATTCATGATGGTATAGGGGTGCATTAGTGCACATGGCATGGGTGACATGCACATCTGTGAAGGCACCATTAATGCTGAATGATATATACATGTTTTGGCGACATATGCTGCCATCCAGATGACGTCTTTTTCAGTGAAGGCCTTGATTATTTCAGCAAGATAATGTCAAACCACATTCTGCATTTATTACAACAGCATGGCTCCATATTAAAAGAGTCCGGGTGCTAAACTGGCCTGCCTGCACTTCAGACCTGTCACCCACTGATAACATTTGGCACATTATAAAATGAAAAATACGACCAAGGAGCCCCTGAACTGTTGTGCAGCTCAAATCCTATGTAAATAAAAATGGGAAAACATTTCAATTTCAAAACTACAGCAGTGTCTCTTCAGTTCCCAAACGCTTACAGAGTGTTGTTAAAAGAAGAGGTAATGAAACACAGTGGTAAACATAACCTTGTCCCAACTTTTTTGGAACGTGTTGTTGGCATCAAATTTAAAATGCGCATATATTTAAAACTAACTAACTAAATAAATAAATAAATAAAATTTCTCAGTTTCAACATCTGACATGGTGTCTTTGTACTATTTTCAATTAAATATTGGGTTTAAATGATTTGCATATCATTGAATTTTGTTTTTATTTACATTTTGCACAGCGTCCCAACTTTTTTGGAAATGGGGTTGTATTTAACTTCCATTCAAAATGGCCATTCATTCATCTTTCATTTTCATTCATTCATTTTTAGGAGAGATTTCTAAGGAGATTAAATATAAAATAATCTACTCACTGAAGGAAGTAGAAAGTCAAAGGAACAAGTGGAAAAAACTGGAATTTCCAAAACTAGAGTTCAAATATTATTAAAATATGTAATGAAAATGGAACTCTGGAATAGTACAAGACCTGGAAAACCACCAAAGCTGTGATATATCACAAACAGTACTGAAAGCTTTCATCTTTGAGAGAGAGGAGAAAATCAAGCTCCACTCTTACTTCAGATCTGAAGAAATCCACAGGTGTTTCTGTCCATCCTTCCACTGTGAGAAGACAACTCAGAACTATGAGTCTGAAAGGATGTGAAGCTGACAAGAAGCTATTACTGAGAAAAGGAAACAGAAAAAATGAAGGACATTTGCAAACAAAGAAGCTGCTGGTGTTCTCAGAACAATGGACTGACCACCCCAGTGTCCAGACAGAGTCCTCTGATCGTGAGAGGCAGAAAATGCAACTTCTAAGACTTCTAAACTGAAACCAACAACCTCCCTTACTCTATTATGGTATAAAGCCTCTGTAACATAAAGCTTACTTTCACAGATGTACACATGTATTTTCATCTTGTAACATTGTATTATATGTGTGCTTAGATCAGCATTTGTATAGACATTCATATTTACATATGTACAGAAATACACACTTTTTTAACCCCTTAAAATCACAGGCTCAGTACATACTAAGGTTTATTATTCAGTAACTAAATGGACTACAATGCATAATAGCTGAGTTATTCTTAGGTTCTAGAAATGGGTGGTAAAACTTTGGGCCCGCCGGTGGGCCCTGGCCGTTTAAGGGCTTAACCTCCTCTCACATTGGCTCTTTATTATTCTTTCCTATTGTCTATTTATTGTAATTGTATTTGTCACAGTTAAATATTTGTTAATAGTCTATGTGCTTGTCTGGTCTGTTCAGTTAGTATGACAGTTAAATGTCATACATGTGTGTACTCCTCAAGACAGATGTCTTGTATGTGTAATACAGTGATTCTGATTCCGACTGAGCTTATTATATATATATATATATATATACATAAGGGGGTGGAAATCTTAATGCTTCAGGATACCAAGACATTTTGGACATTTGTGTGTTTCCAACTGTGTGGAACAGTTTGAGAAGGACCTTTTCTGTTCCAGCATGACTGTGCATGTTTTGGGGTTCGGTGTGGAAGAACTTGACTGGCCCTCACAGAACCCTGACCTCAACCCCATCTAACACCTTTGGGATGAACTAGAACGGAGACTGCGAGCCAGGCCCTCTCGTCTAACATCAGTGTTTGACCTCACAAATGCTCTTCTGGATGAATGGACAAAATTCCCACAGACACACTGCAAAATCTTGTAGAAAGCTTCCCAGAGTGGAAGCTGTTATAGCTTCAAAGGGGGACCAACTCCATATTAATGCCTATGGATCTAAAATGGGATGTCATAAAAGCTCCTGTGGGTGTAATGTGTAGGTGTCTCAATACTTTTGTCCATATAGTTTGTGTGTGTGTGTGTGTGTGTGTGTCCAATCAGTCAGAGAAAATAGACTACATTAGGCTAAATTACACTTTACAGAGGCTATATTGCACATCACATGCGCTTTTTCGGAACCAAAATAATTCGATACGCTAGCTGTAAGCTTTAAAGCAGCTGAAATTTCCTACTCAAACCAGCACTCAATAAACTGCACAGACGTTTTCCAATCAGGCCTTGAGGTGAATATATGCTGTATAACATCTCCAGTGTAGATATCATTATTCATTTAAGTATGATATGTATAACATTGGCTAATGAGGCCCTTGCTTGTGTGTGTGTTTGAACTACTTCTCAACTATTATGGAAGTAGTTGGGTGTTTGGTACTGACATGGAATTTAATTCAGTATAACTACTTACTATTTTCAGGTTAAATATCACACAGAAAGTCTACTCTTCACCTCCGGAAAGCGGCTCAGGCCATCAGACAAACAGAGATGTCTCATTTTTTGCAGTTGATGGGTGTTGTGAGTCAACAGCATGACATAAAAAACATTTCTTTTTAACACAATGTTCTTGTCCATTTTCAGAGTAATGTCAATAACGACGTACACATTGCACAGTGGAGGGCAAAACCAAAAGTTACTAAAGAAACTTAACAAAACATAACAATTACTTATTTATTGCTTTATTTCTTTTTCAAAGCAAACGATGCAGGCTACCAGACAAAACTGCACCGAAATCAGGATAAGGTAATAGTATATTTGAACTCCTTGTACAGAGGCCTCCCTCAAAACCCTAATAAAGGTAATATATGACTAAAATACTAACCTGTAAAGCCCAAAATGTTGCCCAAAACAAGCATAAAACAAAAAGCCAAGTATTTTGTCTAATGTTGAGAACAGTAAAACAAATTCATGCAGACATAAGCCCCAACCTCATTGTTTATAACAGGTATGGAGAGCACTGTTTTTCAATTAACTGTAGCACATTATGAGTATATTTATGTACAATACATGGTGCCATTTTATTCAAGTGAGACAACAGGATAAAATGAGGACAGATGGGTTAGATTTGTGACAAAGGTATATAAATGTGTTCATCATAAAGACATGCACTGGGTAGTGAACTGTATCTTAACCCCACTGGACAAACCAGCAAACCGGGGTGATCTGAAGGCAGAGTGAAGGCACTCAGCTGGGCTACCTGAACCTGGATCACATTCACCTTCTCACTACATTTTGTTCCTCTGTGTTTCAGTGTAATATGGGAAAATGTGGCAATTTGGAAAAGAACATTTTCAAATTAACATGAAATTTTAACAATAAAAAAGCAACTAATCTATTTTAAACCAGGTTAAGTGCCACTCACTTTACCTAAAGATTTGATATGACAAAACATTACTAATACATTCCTTTTAACTAACCACATTATTACTTACATGTATAAATGCAACAGCACTAACATTTGCACTGAATAGCCAAAGCCCCATGTCCCCCATGTAAATAAGGCAATATAATTTCAAATGTTGTCCAAATGTTTTTTTTTTTTGTTTTTTTTTAAACAAAGTAAGGCTCTGTACATTTAACTGATGTTCAAGGTACTGGTAAACATCACTCAAATTTGCAGAGCTTTAGGAAACAAAAACATGACATAAAGTGATTCAAAAAGTTCACGTAACCTTATGTTAACATGGCATGTATCTGTATGTCTTTTTAAGATTCCTTAATATCTGATGCATAAAGTTTAAGAACCTCACCTGTTAAAGGGGCATTGCAGCCAAACAATAGCATTTAATACGTATCATGCTATGTAATTTTCTGCCGAGCAACATTTTATCCCTCAGTCCCATTAATGTGACAGAATTCACGGTTTTGGTAAATTCAGTTGTTTTTATCGATCAGTATTCTTTTTATTACCTAATCACGCCATACAGCCATTGGGAATCCCTTCCACACCTTCCTAACATTAAAGTTATTCATGCATTAGCCGACTCCGCAACTCCCTGAGGGTGTGCTCAGAACAGATCATGTATTCATTTTGGCTGGAGTGCCGCTTTAAAGTGACAACAAACAGACTTGCAGATCATGCCACATTTTTATGAAATATTTTGCTACTTAAATGTAACAAACAGTGGGAAGTTTCACAGAAACCAGCTGATGCACAACCATTGTATTATTATGTAAACAGTGAAACACAAAGCTTACCCCCTGTGTTATCACTTCACAAAACCTCTGGTTGCATAATACATAGCTTTTACCACGCCACAGAAACGGTACCTACTCTACTAAAATGTAAAATGTTTCTAAACATGCAATTATGCTTTTTCTGTGGCAGGTTAAAACTTGTATTAACCCAAAAACATTTACCGTCAGGTAACAGCACTGCCTTCTTCGGCAGACGCCACTCATCCTGTCAGAAGCAAGTGCGTGACTGGACAAACCACTTCTAGATGACCTGTGGAACAGAAAAAACCCAATGAATGAAACTTGATTTCTGGGTTTCTGTAGAGGACAAAGAGTACTGGAGGGACTAACATAAAACTTCTAGTGTGTGTGTAGCTAACTTGTACATAGTAGCTCAACCGTTCTTAAACATTGGCAGTTTTTTCAGAGTGTGTACTCTGTAACACTGTTGGCCAAGTGTATTCTGGAAATGCATGCAAGTATTAAAAACTGACAAACAGCATATTTCATATTCAAAGGACTACAAGCTTTAAGATTCTTCAATTTTTCAAAGTGCTGAACCTGAAAACTTGCAATCCTCCATTTATTGGTATCAAGGTCAGACTTTCATTGTGGTGGCAAATTGTGTCCCCCAACTTTGAAGCTCAAACTAAGACTAAACCACAGAAAGCAAATGTCTTTTTCTGTTCTAGTCCTAATTTACTATGTACTGTTGTGCATGAAAAAACAGCATGTCACAGCCGTGACAGAACTATTATTTTTGTGCTTGTTTCTTCTGTTTGAACTGTAAAAACACATTTAAATGACTGTTTGTCGTATGTACACATTAATTTAAATAAATAAATATCATTTTCATTTGTTAATAAATCTGTTTTGGTCAAAGGTGGTACAGAAACAAAGTCTTTTTGATTTACTTCTTATTTGGAAATCTCAAAGCAAGAAAGACTAACTCCGAGAAGTCTGCAGTTAATGAAATGCCTTGTTATATTGCTAAAATACTGACAGCTTCATGTGTCGCACAAAAGATGTGTCTGTGGTTTTCCTCATGAAACATTACACAATTTAAAACTATTAAAGGCTCACTGGCAAATAATATTGCCACTGTTTATACCCAACCTTTGTTTTTTATAAAAATTTTGTGTTATACTGGTATTCAAAGGAAGTTTTAGAAGATTCACACTTAACAAATATTATCGTGTGTTATCATTTTAGGTCCTATTCAAATGGGGCAAAAAAGGTTTAAAACACAACACTTGCATCCTGACCTCAGGCAGTCTCACACTCACGCTCAGGCCTCAGAGCGCTTTTTATGGTGTGTGAAATGTGCACAATAAGCTCTGAAGATCTCCTAAGGGCCTTTCTTCAAAACATCAAGTGGTATTTGAACATAAATATTTTAGGTTTTGACTAAAACAAGCAGTTTAAATGACCCATGTCCTGCTTTGTTCTTGTAATTTTCCACACACAATGTTACTTCTGAAAGTAAAACATTCTTTTTAAAACAGTTCGGTTTACATTTTACACTTGACTTACATGTCAATATTTGTACCGTTTGTTACCGCAATAGTAGAATGACTGACACATACAGGATGGATACGTTCCTTACTCATTCTTTAGTAAGCCTGTTCTGTGTTAAAAATGTGACAAAAATGTTTTTATTTCATTTGTTACTGGAATTTCACTGTGGCCTGCAGAGAACCTCGGTCCTAAAGATTAAATGACTAAAAAAGTTGAGTTGAGGTATTTCAGCCACACCCACTGCTAACAGGTGGAGGAAATTAAGCACACAGCCTTGCAGTCTCAATAGACAAACACTGGCCAAGCAGCTACCTAAAAGCCTAAGATCAAAATGCACAATGCCTAAGGGGGGGAATGGTATAAAGTGCGCCGCCTCCATCTGGCAGTGCGACGGACGAGTCGTCGTTTGGTGAATGCCAGGAGAACGTTACCTGCCTGACTGCACTGTGCCAACTGTCAAGTTTGGTGGAGGAGGGATAATGCTATGGGGTTGTTTTTCAGCCTAGGCCCCTTAGTTCCAGTGAAGGGAAATCTTAATGCTTCAGCAGACCAAGACATTTTGGAAAACTGTATGCTTCCAACCTTGTGGGAACAGTTTGGCGAAGACCCTTTTCTGTTCCAGCATGATTGAGCCCCCAGTGCACAAAGCAATGTCCATAAAGGCATGTTTGGGTGAATTAATGCCTATAAATTTAGAATGGGATGTCATAAAAGTTTCTGTGGGTGTAATGTGTAGGTGTCCCAATAATTTTGTCCATATAATGTACAATGCCTCCATGGACGAAACCTACCACACTTTCTGGTGACAACCAGAAACGGAAAAGTAGCATAATGTCAACTGCATGGAGTCTGGTATTTACTCTCAGACAAAAAAAACTGCAGTAGTATTTTACTAGTGGAATAGGTGGTGTTATAAGTAGTTATTTACTGGTGCCCATCCCTACTGCAACCTTTAATCAAATGAAGATCATGTCAGATTAACTGCGTGCGTGATCAATCATTTCTGAATGAATGAATCACCTGGTCTACAGCCAAACAGTCATCACTCACCTGGCATTGCAAGCTGCATTCCATCTGCAGAAGACACTCCAATGTTTCCATCATTTGCTCTTTCCGCAGGGAGTGCAGCTTGGTTTCACCCACAGTGACGCTCCTCTCCAGCTCGCACACTGTACTCTTCAGAGATACTGACGCATGCTGCAACGCACTGAGCCCTGACCAAGCCAATGCGTATCACACAAACAGACACACACACATGCAAGAAACACAACAATTTAGCCTTCTTGAACTTCAACTTCTCAAATTGATCCTCAGGACCCCCCAGATGATCCACATTTTCACTCTAATCCTATGCAGTGCGAGTTAGGTTGGAGCAAAAACATGGACCGCCTGGGGGGCCCTGAGAACAAGTCAGAGATTCAGTGTTTGAGTGGCTTTCATGCAAGTAACCAATGACATGTTAAAGGAATGCTTCACACAAAAATGAAGCTCTATTTTCCCCTTACACTGTCAGAAAAAGGTACTGTGCAGCTGCGTTTCGTTCATGAAGGTACAAATAATGTAAATGTATACTGTTAGATATGAAGGTTCTGTGCAGGTACACTTTTTGTTCATAAAGGTACAAACAATGTCCAATTGTGTACCTTTAATAAGTTTTTCCAGGTGAAAAGTATGTATTTGTACCTTTTCATAACCTAATGTTTTAAAACAGAACAATGAAATAAAAAGCCTGGAGACGAGACAAGGTGTGTGGAGTCAATACAACTCATCATAATATACAACTCATCAAAATATCATTTTAGTGGATTATGGTACAATTATGTTCCCTGACTAAAGGTACTGAGATGTACCCTTGAGGGTACCACCCCAGTGACAGTTTCAAAAACTTTTTCTCTGAAAGTATAACCTCAAAAGATGCACCTTAAATAAATTTTTCCCAAGGAAAAGTACAAATTTGTATCTTTTCATGACCTAATGTTTCCCAAAGGAATATTAAAATAAAAGGCTGGAGCGTGTGGAGTTAATAAAACACTCAAACTGTCAAAAACGTATGACTTTAAGGTAATATGATACAATTATGTTCCATAACTGAAGACCCCAGTGACAAGAGGAGTACCATCCCACGGTACACAGCGATTCGATTCTGTGATTTGATTCAGCTATTTAAAGTTCTTTAGGAAATATTCTAATGAATAAAAAGTATGTCTAGAAGACTTTCCCTAATATTCAGACATACATACATACATACATACATCATCTAAACCACTTATCCTTCTGGGTCGCAGTGGGGTGCTGGAGCCTATCCCAGCTGTCATTGGGCGGAAGGCATGATAGACCCTGGACAGGTCGCCAGTCCATCGCAGGGCAGACAGACAGACATACATATACAATCACACACACATTCACACCTAGGGGCAATTTAGCATGTCCAATCGGCCTGACTGCATGTCTTTGGACCGTGGGAGGAAACCAGAGTACCCAGAGGAAACCCACGCAGACATGGGGAGAACATGCAAACTCCATACTCAGACAAAAGCTCAATAATATTTTTGGGTGACAAAGACGTCTGTCATATTAGCCATGTAGCTTTACTGCAAGAATAAAGAAGCAAAGAGCAGCAGACACGACTCGGCAGACTGACTATGTTTGGGTGACGAAAAGTGTGTCAATGTCATTCACCCATGTGAACAATGTCTTTGATTAAAAGGGCGAGAACACAGCTTGTTAAGTGTGTCAATGTAAAGCTTTAAAAACACAAGAAATACTTTGTGTGTTTGTGCCAAACGCCTCATAAAAAGGACAAGTGATCAACTAGTTTGGCAGGATTCCTCAGACATCAGGGTTTGTCAGAGAGCTATGCAATGTTGACCTGACCTGATGTTGAATGAACTTATCTGACCAGATCTTCACTTTCAAAAAGTGTAAGTGGCAGTTAATACTTAAATAAATGTTTACACTGATATGCAAAGATACTCTTCAAACATCTGTATTTTTTTAACTAATGCAGGTGGCTCTTATTACACTACAAGCTGTAATAAGATGGTGTGTGTACTGTAGCATTAGGTACCGGAACCCTAACTCTCACTTCTTTGTTGTACATAGTCATGTAAAAAAGTTTGTATACCCATTTAATAAATTTTTAGTGGGCCACAATTTGTGTTTATTTTTTGTTCCAATGTGTTAACATTTCAACAAATTTCAATAAATAATCAGTAATTCCTCATTATAATGTGCAGAAGTATGCTCTCTGTAGAGGATGTGTTGAGATATTTTTGAGATATTTTGTTGAGAAAATCACCAAAACATGTCATTTGACTTAGACTGCCCAAACTTTTGTATATGACTATCGCAGCTCAGTATGTCAAGTGGATGTTTATTGGCTGTGACAACGTATTCACGTTAAAAGCTTTGCTGTCTCTTTGTAGGCACACTGTCATTCCTAAAGTTCAGAAGCAGAAACCTTTCAACAACATATCAGCAGATATTATAAGCACACAACAACACTGGAACATACCATTCATATCTCTGGCCTCCAGGTCTATATATATTCCGTTTTTCATGCAGCTTTTCAGCACCTGTAAGGAACAAAGCAATATTAATAATGGAATTCCTCCATTTAGGGTAAAAGAAACTGAAAGAGTCATGATCTTATGAGATTATGCTTATACCTATGTACAATATGAATGTGGTTTTACCTCCAAAACTCTGACATATCCATATTCTGCACTGAGGTGGAGGCACGTCTTTCCATACCGATCCCTTTCGTTGATGTTTGCACCGAGGGAAATTAAATCTGCAACTATGAGGTGTTGATTTCTCTGAGCTGCTACGTGTAGAGGGGTCTGCAAAAAGAAGCAGAGAAAAAAGCATACATTTAGAAAATATGATTCTATCTTAAGCGATCCCAGTTAGCCTAGCCGCACTCCTTCAGACTTCTCAGTCATGTCTGTGGCACGTTGAGGCACTTGTGTTTCGTTGGCAGAGTAAAGTAACTTAATATACAGATCTTTGAGCTACTAAAGCACCTCCTAAATGCCGAGGCTGCAGCACCATGGAATAAGTCTCTGTACACTGTCAGCTTCTTTCAGTGCCAAATTCTGACATTTACAATTTTACATGGGAGAAGTTGATGCTCCGAGAGTCTCGCGTCAGCTTCTAACAGCATCAGCTATTTTTGTTACCCTGGGAATAACACAGGTCTTCGGCAGAGGATGTAATGCTTAAGATTAAATCTTTTAAGTGATGAAATGAAACACACTTTACCTACGGGCCAAAGAAAACGCTCCTTTGTTCAAACAGCCAGACTTGGTGCACAATGTCATATTATCAGCATCAGAGTTCCAAAATCTATTGAAAGTCAATTTGACATTATAGTTGGCAAGTGTAAAGAATGTGTCCACTGGATTAAGAGATTATAAATGTTTTTCAAAATATATGTTAGCTGTCATCAAGGGCTTATTTAGGTGTCATGTAGCATTATGACACCTACACCAAAGTGGTACCACTAGACTCCCTTTTGGGGGCTGGGTGTCTACTCCCACACGGCTTCATAGACAAAAAGCCTGCTATCAATGCAACCTTGCAGAAAGTGAATGTGCTTAAGCTCTGAAGGAATACCTGCAGTTTGAATTGTCTGAAGGTGAAAATGAAATAACTTAAAAGGGTTGCTGCGTTTAATGAAAATGAAAATGACTGCTGTAAAAGACTGTCATGTTCATGCTGGGAAGACAAGAACAGTGAAACGAGTGGAAACTGTGAGCATTTGAGCTGTTGAGCAACCAGTGAAATGTATAAGGAAGATTGCTCCTAGCATTGAGATGAATATTGCTGGTGTTACAGGAAGAACATAGTAGAATGCAAGGTTTCTGCCTCGGTGTACTGGTCACATGTCTGTCAGCTGGGGATGGAGTGAGCAGGAATGGGGAAAACCAGTATGGTTCTAGTATGTTTTGATGAGTCTAGGACTGGAACAGATTAGGAATGGCAAAGGGTGTGGACAGATCTTCTGAGGGAAAATGAAGGTGATGTGGGGGTTACATTTAGTAGGTTTAATAATCCTGCAGAATGAGATTTAGGGGTTCAGCTGAGAATTACATCCAAAATGAAAAGTAACTAAAGTGGGTGAGAAATGTACTTGAGATATCTTGGGACTGAATTCAGGAGCAAACCTCACGTTTCATTTCAGTGAACAAAAATTTGGCCTCTGAATAAGAGCTGGTCATAGGAGCTGATCATATGTCCAAACGTTTGTAGGCACCCGCTCATCCAATGTTACTCCCGAAATCTAGGGTATTAATAGACAATTTGTCCCCAGTCTTCTGCAGTAACAGTCTTTACTCGTCTGGGAAGTCTTTAGAACAGGTGTTGGAACATTGCTGTGAAGAATCTCTTTCATTTAGCCCCAAGAACAGTAGTGAGTTTTAGCTACTAATGTTGGATGTTTAGTTCTGGATCACAAACGCCACTCCAAGTCTTCCTAAAGGTATTAAATGGTGCTGCATCACTCCAGAGAACACAGTTCCACTTTATACTGATCTAGCCGACACTTGGCTTTGGGCATGGCGACCATAGGCTCATGCGTGGCTGCTTCAGAAATTCCCAGTTCTATTGATAATGCCTATCTGTAGAGATAATACCAGCTGTGTGTGCAACTGAACATCTGTGTAAGCAATGGGTGCAACTAACAGTAGCTGAACTGACTAATTAGAAGGGGTATCTGGTCAGTCTGGACATATAATATATGAAATTAAGTGGGTACATCATAGCCCGCACTATAAAAAGCTACAAATTTAAAGTCTTAGAAAAGGACAACACTGCGTTTCAGAACTTGCTGTTAACATGTGACGGTCAGTGATTACTATAGAAAGCATAGGCAGCACTAATGAATCCCTGGGGTTGTCTGGACATTTAATGTACAACACAGCTGAAGAACGATATAAGCCAGTGGTTTTCAAACTATGCATCACTGAATGCTCCAAAAATCTCCTTTGTTATCAGCGCATTGCTGTTGCCACAAAAAGTGTTGAGTCTATTTTTCTGCTGTTTGCCATGAGCTACATGCCATTAGAAACTTGTACTGGACATACACAAAGTTTAATAACTTTCTGACCATTTTATGTGCATCTGAATGTATAAAATATATGTATAAAATATTGGTGGGTCTCGAGACAAGCAGTATTTTCATATGTGGGTCCTGGTACAAAAAAGTTGGTGATCCTCTGGCATAAGCCACAAGCAGCGAGAGTATCCTTACTTTCTTCTAGCAACCTCAGTTATATTATTTCAATAGATTTGCCAAAGACCAGTGAGAGGTTAGGAATAGTATTTAATAAGAATGGAGTTGATGAAGAAAGTGCAAAAAATTAGGAAATGAAAAGGGATTATCCTCAATGACCAGAAACAATGTAACAAATGTAACAAGAGAAATGATACTCCCTATATATTTACAGCTATTAGATTATATTAGTACAGGGTTTTGTGTTTCCTTCACTGAACATCATAAACACAACTGAGTTTCCGTCGTCACAGCCTTTTTTGTCATTTTGTTTTGTCATTTTTAATCTAATAGTTTGTAAATGACGACTGAGTGTTACCTTTCCCTCTGTATCTTTAGTATCCAGTTTCTTTAGATGTGCCATCCTTTTGGCAATCACATACACAAGAGCTCTTTTCCCCTCGTCAACAGCTCTGTGTAGCAGTCTGTGAAGGAAGTACAAAAAACAGCAATGCAAAACACAGTTTTATAAAACCAGTGGATGACTACCATGACATCAATAAGTGAATGATGATGATAATGACGATGATAATAATCTTCTATAGAACAGTCAGACAGCTATTTTCCACAGAAAGGTATATCCTGCACCTTTCTGAATGGATAATAATAATGTTTTTCAGAGATGTACTCTTAAATAAGGCTTGTGAGGTTAGTTTATGTAGGGCCTGATCAGGATCAGGTTTCAGAGAACAGAATCTAGACACTCTGTAGTTACAGGAAGGCTTCACATTTCAGTTCAGAAGCTTGCTAAATTATAAAATGTGTGATAAAAAAACCCTTAAATGTGGACATATTACACTCTAGGGTATATTACTCAGCAATTACATGGAAAGCAATTCAAAGTTGCTAATATAGCTTAGTTTTAAGTTATACGAATGAGGAACGGAAGCCGTGTGGTTGGTCCTGGACATTTAAGGGGTTGAATCTGTATTTCAAACTTCAGTAAGCATTATAAGCATATTATATAATACTAACTAAAACAAACGGGATCAACTGCATATCATTGCTGTCCAAATAAAAACAAGTATCTCCAAAATAGTAACTTTACAGGAGAAGACAAAAATGTTCTTTACTTTCAATGTTAGTTAATAGAAAGAAATTTTATTCTAAGCAATTTTGGAGCATTTCTATTCATCCAATCATTGTGAAATTTTTACTCAATATAAAGGACAGCTGCTGAGCTCAAATGATGCAGAAAAGTAAAAATCGCCATGTTTTTCATTGGACAGCGACAATATTCAGTACGAGAACAGAATATTTTGCCTGAACCATCAGACAGTCATGTTTGCCTATAGGTCACAAGTGCATATCGCTACTGTCGGAACAAATCCTCGTATCTCCAAAAAGGTAACTTTACACTTTACAAGGAAAAACGTTCTAAACTTTTGCAAAAAATAAATGGAGAAATAATTTTTTCCAAGTAATTTTGGACCATTTCTATTGGTCTGTTCATCATGAAATTTTGACACAACAAAAAGTGCAACTGCCTTTTTTATGTCAAAAAATGAAAAATGAAAAGGCGAAAGCAACAAACATGCAAGAACGTCCTCTTGGCGAAGCAAGAAACTTCATAAATGTTTTAAGCACATACGTACACATAATTAATCTCTTACAATGACGTATTTTGGTGAGATCACCATCAAGAAACACTCTAAGTCCATTCAAACCCAAATATGATACAGGATGTCTTGGAAAGCGATGGTACAAGACAGATTAACTTACGTTCTACCGTACTCATCCAGAGACAGAAGGTCTTTGTCAGACATATCCCTCAGTATGCGCTCCTGTCTTTCCATTTGGGCCCAGAAGAATGTTGCGCTGTTCCACTCCTCCTGCACTGAGTAGGGATATGTCGGACCAATCGTCTCAGGGGAACCCCACCAGTGCTCCATCTTGGGGCTAAAATAACTTGTGTCTTGGGGGGAGGGCACCTGGTATTCGCTGTAACCAGGAGAGCAGATCATTCCAGGCTCAGCCCTGCGTCTACAGTAAGCTGACTCAAATCTGTGATATTCCCCCTGACTGTCTGATAAAGGAGCAGCGGTCTGGCTATAAGCCCAGAACGGGACGGAGTTGTTGACTTCGGTGGACCGTGTGGGAAACTTTTTATTGGTTTCACAGAAACATGAATTTGGAGGTAACTCATCCAAGTGATGTTGCTGAGATCTGTGTTTACACCAGCTCTTGTCTCTCTGCTCCGGGCAGAGGGTAGATGACGGCTGCTCAGTTGGTTGTTTGGGGGATGTACTGGTCTTAAGATCTTCTTCTAGCACCTCCACTATAATAGCAAGTTCTTCCAAACTCTTTGTTTGCCATTTTTTCTAAAACATACAAGTGACATGTTCAGTTGCAGTATGACATTTTAACCAGTTATTACAAAGACTTGCTGCTAATTTTGCCGTATTTTTGAAGAGTGTACCTACCAGTCTATTTCTCCGATCGCCGCTTGTGTTGACTCGCTTTTTCTCCCCTACAAAGAAATACAAAATTAAAAAGACATGCATGTGGTGGAGAGTGGTAGCTACTTATTATACTGTAAACATATTCTAACCTTTTGATTTTTTGTTTTCTTTCTGCTGTAAAGAGAAAAAAGTAAAGTGAGATACACTTTTTATTAAAGTCCACAGGACAGCATTCTAAGTACATGAGGTAATTTGTACCTGCAGATCTTTGGGGTCCATGCCGTTGGCTATGCGAAAGTTCCTGAGCATGTCTCTCACTGGCATTCTCACTCTGACACCCAAGTATCTTTTATCACCCTTGGCTTTCTGAGACTTTGGACCTAAAAGAACACATGACAACATGAATGAAAGGAACTACATGTTTTAATAGTAGTAATAGGTTTTCTATCACTGTGCACTTGTCTTTGGAGACTTTCTCAGACTTTCATTGGAGTATTTTCTCAGAATATGTAACCCAGTCAATAGAAATGAAACTTTTCTCTGCTATACAGACTTCACAAATTGTATCCATTTCCAACATGTAGGGTTTTCACGATCAATGTACACATAACACAGCAAAAGAAAGAAAAATAACCTATAATAAATCACAGTTCATTATAACAGCAATATTAAAATACCAGTCATTCTTTGTGGTGAACAAAACTTTGTCATCTTGACTTTGAAAGACCAAATTTTTGGATCTCCTCTTGTGTAAATGCTTTTTTTCTTTTATATCAAGACAATATAAACATCAGCATTTGTTTCATATGTTGTACTTTTATAATGTTAAATATATCTAATAAACTGAGAATTAAAATACCAACATATCATAACCAGCATAAGACACAGTTTTAGCCAGATTTTGTACAGTACACACCATACATTTCAATATCCCTATTTTGAAGGTTGCTTTTTTTGACTTGGACAATAACACAACTGCAAAATAACAGAAAACCGTATGTAACAGAAAGAAAATAGGTATCTTAAATGTTTCTGTGGGTTCCTGCTGGTGTCCAATTGTCACTAATAGTATTTTGTGTTCTCCTGATTGGTTTTATAATGAAGTGTAAATGATTCTAGTGATTTGAAAGAGAATTCCATAGATTATTCAGAATTTCTGCATGATCAAATGGTTAAGACATGAACAAAGTCTTTCGGAGTGGTTTGAAGTGAAATGCTCTGTTCTAGAGAAATTTACTGAGTCTGAACTGTTCACAGTGAAGGTGATAGAAACCAAATGTCTGAAGAGTTTAATGCCTCCCTCACAGAAAGATCTTACATGAAATGGTTATGAATACTCTGCCTGATATCTGAGACATTGTGTTATGATAGTTTTGAGAAGGTTTTGGTTTAAAACTCTTTTTTTAAAACCCATTTTTTGCAGAGAGGTACATGCACGGTGTGCAAAATAGTCCCCAAAGAGAACGTATTCTTTTGGATTTATCACTATTTTACCATCAACTTTACACATGAAACCTCTGACAGATGTGGGTTCACTGGTGGATTTGGATAGTAAATAAAATGGATATAATTGTGTTGTAAATATTGTGACCCCTGGTTCCTATCACCACCACTGTAAAGAAATCAGAGTCTCGCTACAGTTAACCATACTACATTAAACCACGCTGAATGACTGTTTACATCTCAGTGACTGAAATATGCAGAAAGTTTGAATAAATGGGGAAATTCCTTTTTAACAGGTGGTCTGAGACTATTAAAGATGCCTTTGATGGTTTGGCTAATGGGATGCCCTACAAGAAACTACTGGTCTCTAATAGTAAAGTCAGTTTCCATTAGAAAACAAAAGCATCACTGTTTCAATCCTAATCGTCCTAATGGTCTTTTTTCAGCAGGGCAGTGTGATATTATTAGCGAACAGCCAGCCTTGTAGACCCCAGAAACCAAGCTGTGTAATAGACATGATGGACATCAAAAACAGTAATTTTATCTCAGAGCTACACCGCTAACTACAAAAGACCCCCATGATTCACTCACCTGCTGGTAAGGCTGCCATTTGCTCGGTGTTAACATGGTAGTTCCGTGCCTCCACACTGACCCCGGTGAGGGCAGCGGTGGGGGAGTTTGGTTCACTTGTATTCAGCGCTGATGCTGCTGGAAGCGGTGAAGCATCGCATGGACGGATGCCATGTTCGTTATCTGTCCATTTGTGGCTTTGGGGCTTCCCCTCACCTCCTGTCTTCTCCACACGGCTCCTCACCATCTTTAGCCTTCCTGCTCAAGCCTTGCCGAGGAATAAAACACTGCAAGAAAATGGATGTTCGCGAAATGGGTTTCCGTCAAGACTTCTCATTAAGAACAAACAGATCAAATGTCATGCGCCTGACAGTCTTTGTCCTCTTGTGTGTGTAGTGTGTGTCAATTGTGTTTGAACACATAGTTGCCTGAGGTTTGCGAGTCTTTAAGTCCACAGTAACTGGCGAAGGCGGGTCTGAGTCAGACAGCTGGAAACATGCCTAAATGCCCTCAAGGGGTTCAACTCCTACCTGTCCTGTCATGACGGTGCACTCAAAAACAAGAGTATGAAAACGTCTAAGGGTTTCAAATAACCTCAGTGAGTAGATATATAAATTTTTCAAGTTAATAAACTTGATTCAACCCATTAAGGCTCATTTAGCGTGATACAGTTGTTAATGACGGTGCAGAAATGCAGTATAGCTTGAGGTTGCCCTGAGCAGGTGCCAAAGATTTGTAGACATGTGCTCATCCAATGTTTCTGCTGAAATCAAGGGTATTAGTAGGTGGTGTGCCCAGTCCCATATGGCAAAATAATACACTCCAAATGCATGTATCATATGTTTTTGCAGCATATAAAAATGGCCAAAATGTATGTAAAAATCAATGGTATGTAGTTTTAATAAAGGTTACAGATATAACCAAATGGTACTGACTTCTATTTTGCATTGCACTTTGCATTATCCATGCACAAAATGTATTTCAAATAAACAAGACATCAAATCATAACTGCAGTGTATCAATACCTACAATACTTGCTTTTGTCATGTTAAAGGTTCATTTGATAATATTTAAAATGAAGATACTGGAATACAAACTCATTTCAAAAGGTTTTCCAGTGTTTGGAATATATTTTGACATGGATTGCGATGTATTTGAAATGTATTTTAAATATATATAAATATATGACCAATTTTTTTCCATATGGGATCTTTGCTGCAGGAACAGCCTCTACTGTTCACGGAAGACTTTACCCTACACTCTTAAAAAAGAGGGTTCTTTAGTAAAGGCTATGCTTCTATGTAGAATCATTTCATGCTTAAATGGTTCTTTGCATGGTGAGTGGTCCTTCAGACTGATGGAGTATGTGCTATACAGAACTATTTTCAAAAAGGTTATGGATAGAACCATATACAACACATCAATCAATCAAAAAAACATTTCACCATGCAAAGTACCATTTGAGCATGAAATGGATCTATATGAAACTCAGTTCTATATAGAACTATTTCTTTTACTAAATAACCATCTTTTTTAAGTGTGTTGATATGGAAACATTGTTGTGAGGCAAAGGCAAATCTACAAGGTAGCGACTGTAGCACTTATATTAAAGGAGAATTACACAGATGTTTCGTAATGCCTGTATTAAACTAAGTAAACAAAGTCATTCAGAGTGATTTGATGTGAAATGTTCCGTTCTAGAGAAACATGCTGAGTCAGAGTTGTTTACAGTAGTGGTGATAGGAACCAGATGTCTGAGGAGTTTAATGCCTCTGAAATCTCCTTCAGAGAAAGTTATTACATGAAATGATTCACTGTTTTATGATAGTACTGTGATAAGCTTTTGGCTTAAATCATATTTTCTGGAGTACACTGATGGTGGAGAGATAATTGCAGGGTGTTGTAAGGCAAAACAGTCCCCAATAAAACTTTTTTCCCCATATTTGCCACTGTTTAACCATAATTAACATTACTTGTAAAAACTCACTGGTGGACACGTCTGGGTTCACTAATGATTTTGGATAGCATATGAAATGCTTCCTATCACCACCATTGTAAAAAAAATAATATATCAGTCAGTAAGTTTTTCTACTATGAACCATTTCACATCAAACCACATTTTGTTTGCTTCTCAGCAATTTAACTAAACACTTGAAATGGACCAAAACGTTGTTAAAAAAATCTATTATTCATATGTTGTACTATCCAATTATGCCACCAGTGTTGAGAAATCACAAGACACGCCTTGAGCATGAGCTGCTTTTCGCACTTTTTGTGTTTCCCACACTGCAGAGAATCACAAAGATGTCAAAGATGTACAGCTGCTTGCGCAAACATACACACACAGCAAAAGTACCCCGCAGCCCAACCCGGGAGGATTTGATTGAGTTCAGTCACAAGTTTAGTGAGGTCATGTCAGGTACTGATGTTGGATGATAAGATCACAAACACAAACCCAGCTCATCCCAAAGGTTGTGGATGGAGCTCCATCACTCCAGGGAATGCAGTTCTACCACTCCACAGCCAAACAATTGGGCATGGTGACTTTAGGCCAGTGGTCTTCAACCCTAGTCCTGGAGAGGTTAGTTCCAACCTGTATCCAATAAGCTGCCCCACCCCTTACTTAACTCTAATAGGTCTGATCCAGGCCATCAGGGACTTGGGAAGAGGTTCATTAGCTGGAGCGGGTGAGGCAAACTGGGGTTGGAACTCTGTGGTAAGGTAGCTCTCCAGGATCAGGGTTGGAGACCACTGATTTAGGCTTATGCGTGGCTGTTCCCCAGCATTCCATTCTACTGGCAATGCTTTGGAGTTTATACAGGCTGTATTCATGGAAGCACATTTGGACGTATAGTGTATGAAATCAGGTCAGGGCCACTGGAACCACGGTGGCAGATAAAATTCAGCAGCAGAGCCAGTCAGAATCTCCATTTTAGCTGGGAGGCACTTTTAGACCTGCCTTGGTTGGTGCAGACCTGTCAAACCTTTTCTTTAGATCAGTTTTGTCATGCGAACACTATGCTTTGCCCCACCACTTCAGGAGGTGTGGCACCACCTGAATTAGACAGTCTTATCATAGTTTGCAGTATAGAAAGTTACAACTGGAAATTCTTATAAAAGGACAAAATGGCATTTCACAGTTGGCCTAAATCTTAAGCAGTCTTTTTAGCAGCCATTATTGCCAGCACTTGGTGTTAACTAGTGAAGGTGAACTCAATGAACTCATGGGTCAGGTTGCCAAACCACTGCCTGTGAAAGCACTCACTCCTTTAATATTGGTACCATGATTAAAGTTCACAAATATTTGGCACTAATGCCAAAACACGTAAGGGACCTCAGATAAACCAAAGGTGGGCACAGTGACCTAAATAGTCATATTCATGTTAAAGCATTGTTACTTTCTGTAAAACAGTCACTCAAGAAAAGAATGGAGTACCTTATTTACATCTAAAACCTGAGCACCAGTACAAACCTAGCAAACCACAAAGTTACATCCAGCATGTGTTAGCACAGGAGTGCAGAGTCCATCCAGCATGTGTTAGCACAGGAGTCTCAGATGTCTGTCACTGTTAATGAAATTAAACACAGGAACATAACAAATATATATAAACATGTCCAGGCATTTCATAGCCATCAGAAGTAAAAGCAAAAGCACAATAACTTTTTTACGCAAGGGATAGTTGTTTTCTTAGGTCCAGACATATCAAAGACAGATTAAATAAACTGGAAAAAACAGCCCATTTTAATGAAATGTTTTTGTGATGTTACAAAAAAACATTTTATATTTTCTTTCAGCCAAATTATTCATGCTAAAGTAATAAGCAGTGTTTTAGCTAGTTCTGTTACTTAAAGAGGCACAGTAATATAGGATAGCAAGACATAGGCAAATTTACATATACCAATTTTAGAGGCACAGTAATAAAAAAACAGCCTATTATGTGAGGGATAATTATGGGTTATAAATTGTTCTGCAAAGTAAATTATGATTCTTTTGACACATAAACCACATACACGACCTAAGAAGACCTCTGAAAAAAAAAACCAAAAGAACAGTCTAGGATATGCCTCCTTTAAAGACACAGGAGGGGATGCTAAATATGCTTAGGGATGCTTTTTTCAAAATATTCGTTTTTTTGATTTGTGGTCTGGCGAGTCATCCTTTCAGATTATTTATGGAAATATCTGACATTCTGTTCTCTGGGTCAACAAAGAAGAAGACCATCCAGATGGCTACCACTGCAAAGTTCAAAAACCAGCATTTGTTGTGGGATGTCAAGGCACCATTCATGCAGAACACATTTTGAATCAATGTATGCCACATTTTAAAAAATGTCCATGCATATTTAAATATGACAACGACACGCCACCTTCTGCATGTGTTACAACTAGCAGCATAGGCAGCAATAAATAATTGGGTAGGCCTGTGAAAAAGTGGGTATGACAGCTTGGTAGACTCAATTTCAATCTCCAAATGTGCTAATATCTCGCAATGTCATTGCATCAGGTTTTTGCCAATTCCTGAGAGCAGTGCAGTCACCCTACCTATTCCAACTCTTCCTCAATATGATGATTCAAAACAACAGCAATCAGCCAGGAAACTGGATTCTACGGATAACTAAGATAAAATCAGACAGTTAAGATTTGTGAAGAGAAACAAAATCTACTTTAAAAAATCTAAACCTAATCACTGCAGGCAAAGGCATATTTCTACAGCAGGGATGAAAAATGTTTATGATCCATTTACGCCTTAACTGTGACTTGGTGCATTGACGTTACGACATTTTAGCCTTTGCAGTAAAAGAGCACTGCAAGTTTTAAATTCACAGGAAACTGAGGACAATGTTTTTCATTTGTATTTGGCTTTCGAAACGGCTGGAAAACAACATAGTCTACTGGATGGTATCTCAAATCCACAGTTACTTTTTTAACCACAACCGGAGCTTTTAAATGCTGGCACGTTAATAACAAATCGAAAGCTTGAGGCAATTGCAGACAGCAACGGTTGTTAAGCAGTATTTTAAAAATTTCTTGGTTTTGTTTTATATTTTATATTTTTATATTAAGTGAATATTTTATATACTTTAATATTAAGTGAATAATGGAATATTGTGTGTGTGTGTGTTTTCAAATATGCCTGGGCATGTATGTAACCTCATATGGCTATTTTTTTAAAAGGCTTTTATGTTATTTTTGTACTGTTGTTCCCGTGTATTCCAGCCACAAGAAAAAATTGAGCGAGTGACACAGATAAGACACGACTAGGGCCCAGGGCATACAGTTACAGGATATGGTGGGCCTGGTCTGTTTGGGTGGGTCTGGTCTGCATCTAGAGTTGCCAGCTCAGCCCTTCAAAACTCCTAGACACTCTATTAGTGTATTAGTATTTTTTTTGGCTAAATTCAATGAACAGTGTACTCGTAATGCAGCGAGAAACCTGTTCACTGATAGATGTCAGTTCAAAGATAAATG